GCCTCCTGACTAGCTGGGATTACAGGCATGCTCCACCATGCCCAGCTAATTTTCTTTTTGTTTTTGTTTTTGTTTTTGTTTTGAGATGGAGTTTTGCTCTTGTTGCCCAGGCTGGAGTGCAATGGTGCAATCTCAGCTCACTGCAACCTCCACTTCGCAGGTTCAAGCAATTTTCCTGCCTCAACCTCCCAAGTAGCTGGGATTACAGCCATATGCCACCATAACTGGCTAATTTTGTATTTTTAGTTGAGATGGGGTTTCACCATGTTGGCCAGGCTGGTCTTGAACTCCTGACCTCAGGTGATCTGCCCGCCTCCGCCCCCCAAAGTGCTGAGATTACAGGTGTGAGCCACCGCGCCTGGCCTAATTTTCCTATTTTTTGGTAGAGACGGGCTTTCACCATGTTGCCCAGGCTGGTCTTGAACTCCTGGGCTCAAGTGGTCCAGCCACCTGAGCCTCCCAGAGTGTTGGGATTATAGGTGTGAGCCATGGCACAGGGCTCTGTAGGGGAGTCATCTCCACACCCTGCAGCCCTCCATCTCCTCTCCCTGGCCCCAGCTGACAGCCGGGTTGGCTGGGCGAGATGGCTCATCATGCCTGTAATCCCAGCATTTTGGGAGGCCGAGGGGTGTGGCTCATGAGGTCAGGAGATTGAGACCAACCTGGCCAACATGGTGAAACCCCATCTCTACTAAAAATATAAAAATTTGCTGGGCGTAGTGCTGTGTGCCTGTAGTCCCAGCTACTCGGGAGGCTGAGGCAGGAGAATCACTTGAACCTGGGAGGCGGAGGTTGCAGTGAGCCAAGATCTCGCCACTGCACTCCAGTCTGGTGACACAGCAAGACTCCATCTCAAAGAAAAAAAAAACACAGGCCAACCCCTGTGACCAGGGCTTTCTCCCCCTTCTCTGAGCAGCACTGATTTAGCGAGAAAAGGTCCAAATCCAGCTCAGTCACCCATCACCTCAAGGAACCCTGGACAAATTGCCTCTTATTCCTCAGCCCCACCTGGAGTGGAGGGGAACTGACATCTACATCTCAGGACTATTTTAAGGGTTATCAATAATTTCTCAAGAGGCCTGGCATGGAGGCTCATGCCTGTAATCCCAGCACTTTGGGAGGCCAAGGCGGGAGGATCACTTGAGCCCAGGAGTTTGACACCAGCTTAGGCAACACAGCAAGACCCTATCAAAAAACAAAAAAAATTGGGCCGGGTGTGGCGGCTCACGCTTGTAATGCCAGCACTTTGGGAGGCCGAGGCAGGTGGGTCATGAAGTCAAGAAATGGAGACCATCCTGGCCAAATGGTGAAACCCTGTCTCTACTAAAACACAAAAAATTAGCTGGGTGTGGCGGTACACGCCTGTAGTTCCAGCTACTCAGAAGGCTGAGGCAGGAGAATCGCTTGAACCTGGGAGGGGGAGGCAGAGGTTGCAGTGAGCCAAGATAGTGCCAGTGCACTACAGCCTTGCGACAGAGTGAGACTCTGTCTCAAAAAAAAAAAAAAAAAAAAAAAGAAATTAGCTGGGTGTGCTATTATGTGCCTAGCTACTCGGGAGGCTGAGGTGGGAGGATGGCTTGAGCCTGGAAGGTGGAGGCTGCAGTGAACTGTGACTGTGACTGCACTCCCGCCTGGGTGACAGAGCAAGACACTGTCTCAAAAAATAATAAGCTGCCAAGTGCCTGGCACACAGTAGGCACTTAGGACAGGTGGTAGCTCTGATTTCCTTAGGATGGAGTCTTCCTGCGGCATCTCTCCAAGTCTGGTCCTACTGCATGAGGCCAGCCTCCCCAGAGCCCTTTTGGTTATCCCTAACCTACCCATTATACCAAGATTCTAGGACTGGTGAGGTGCTGGGTGGGGTGTGGGGGCAGGTGGGGAGGTGGACATCAGGGTCGGAGGTGTGGCGGAGGTGAAGCTGTCTGGATGGGTGGAGTTGGGACAATGGGCTGGAGGGCCCCAGAGGGCCCACGCTGGGACTGGCTGGGAGTAGGTCTCACCGGTTTGGGGAGCTGACTGGGCTATGGGGAGACGCTGGCATCTGGGGAGGTAGGAGGGGCTGGCGGCTCCCTGGGAAAGGGGAGCTGAGTCAGGCAAGGCTGGGCCAGTGGCCTGAGCTGAAGGGCTGAGTGGTGCCTAGAGAGGGGCGGGCCTGCTCCCTCACACACGCGCTGCTTCACCCCACACTCAGACGCCACGCTCAGATGCGCACTTGCACAGCTACCCACACACCTCAATTGCAACCCCTCAGCTGTCAGATCCTTTCCCACCTCCGCATCTGCCTTACCCGTCTCATTCACACATTCTGACGTTTATTGTTTACAGCCCGCTGCCCTGCCGGAACGTAAGTCCAGTGGGCCCGGCGTTTGGCCTGCTCTGTTCACTCTTCTATGCCCAGTGCCTCAAGATGCTGGCACATAGTAGGTACTCAATAAATATGTGCTGATTGAGTGAATGAATCCCTCTAAAAACACATTTATTCCCAACACTTTGGGAGGTCGAGGCAGCTGGATCACCTGTCAGGAGTTTGAGATCAGCCTGGCCAACACAGCGAAACATTGTCTCTACCAAAAATACAAAAATTAGCTGGGTGTGGTGGCAGGCGCCGGAGAATCACTTGAACCCAGGAGGTAGAGTTTGCCATGAGCTGAGATTGAGCCATTGCACTCTGGCCTGGACGACAGAGCAAGACTCCATCTCAAAAAACAAAACAAACGAAAACACCCTCATTCATGCATACCTGCGGGCACACATTCACACCCAGACCCGCACATCCACGCAACACAAGCATGCGGGTACTTTCAGACCCACACCCAGCCATCCAGATTCCAAAGCTCGTGCTCATGGCAGGGTCACGTCTGCGCAGACATGCAGAAGCACATCCCGCTCCCTACCCTCTGAAGGGCCAGCCCCTCCCAGAAACGGGCTGGGCCTTGGACCTGACAGCACAGCAGCTTGAAAGAGGTGGGGTGGGGCAGGGCCACTCTGCACCCGGAGGCTGTCAGGAAAGGCTACCACTGCAGATGTGTTTCCCTGGGACCCACCTATGGGAGGAGGGAGTGAGGTCACCGAGCCCCCAGCCTTGACCCAGCCCTTTTTCCAGACTCAGACTCTGCCCCTCCAGCTCCCATCCTGACCAAAGGCCTAGTGGAGGGGTTTGGGGTAGGGCAGGGAGTCCTCCTGGGCACAGAGGTGGACAGGGCCTGGGCCAGTTTGCCTGGCACGTCTGGAGAGAAGGTAGGGGTGGGGCAGTGAGAACCTGCCTTCCCAGCCCTGACTCCACCTTCGAGTAGGAAGACACCTCTGCCACCCTGCCCCCGGGAAGCTGGAAATGTGGGACAGAACTGTCACCCGGCTGGCCTTGGCCCTGGGTTCCTTCCAGAGAGACCCCCTTTGCCCCACCTACCTGCTGTGGAATAGGGGTGGGTGTCTAGCAGTGGGTCCCAGGCTAGGAGGTAGCCACCAGACACCATCATTGCCCGCACACTTCTAGCCTCTGGAACCCACGTAAAATCGGTCAAGAGAGGTCTGGCTGTCCCACTGCACTCCAAGAAGCCCAAAGTAATCAAACCACATCCCTGGGGTTCCTCTGGCTGTGAAGCTGGGGCCCCAACCCGGCTCTGGAATGGGGGAATAGACAGGGCAGCAGCAGGGCCACCTCCCTCTGACTCTAAGGAACCTGCATCAGTAAATGCCCTGAAAGTAAACACCAGGAGCAAATGTCCTTGGCCCCCTCCCACACTTGCCACATTCCCTGAGGGAAGTGATCCTGAACTAGGAAAATACAGGACTTCCCATCTTAGAAATCGGAAACCACCGTCTTCCCAAGCCTGGGGAGGACTGTGTTTTCATGCCCCCTGGCGGCAGGTCTGCAGAGTGGCCTCTCACGCCTCCTAGTGGCGAGTCTGCACACTGCGTCCTCCCTCACACAAGCCTCAGACCCAGGTGCAGAGGACCAGGCAGGGCCTAGATGGTGTCCCTCACCCCACATTTTACAGATGAGGGGGAACGGGTGGAGAGGGAGGGAAGGACTTGTACTGTCACAACTGAGCTCCGCGGAGACTGGACCGCAGGTGCTATGACTCATTCAACAACACTTATTGAGTACCTATTGGTCAATAAACATTTATTGAACCACTAGACTCCTCGTCCAGTGCTCTTCAGGACCCTGGAGGACCCTCTGCAATTCGGTCTGAGACTCCAGTCAGCAGCTGGAACCTTCTCGTCCAGGAAACTGTCCAGGTGAGGGGCTTAGCGGTGAGGGCAGACCCCATCAGCCCACTTGCCAACCTGCAATGCCACCACCATCCTGTGGTCCAGAGACACAGAAGAGGCAGGATGGGTCTGGGGCGCAGTGCTTACAGGTGGGGCAGGACAGGGGCCCGGTCAGCCGTGTCCATCTTTTTTTTTTTTTTTTTACAGAGTCTTGCTTTGTTGCCCAGGCTGGAGTGCAGTGGCATAATCTCAGCTCATTGCAACCTTTGCCTCCCAGGTTTTAGTGATTCTCTGGCCTCAGCTTCCTGAGTAGTGGGGATTATAGGCATCTGCCACTATGCCTGGCTAATTTTTGTATTTTAGTAGAGAAGGGGCATCTCACCATGTTGGCCAGGCTCTCGAACTCCCGGCCTCAAGTGATCCACCCACCTTGGCCTCCCAAAGAGCTGGAATTACAGGTGTGAGCCACCGTGTCTGGTCCATCTTGTTTGTTTGTTTGTTTGTTTGTTTTGAGATGGGGTCTCCCTCTGTTGCCCAGGCTGGAGTGAAGTGGCATGGTCTCAGCTCACTGCAACCTCTGCCTCCTGGGTTCAAGCAATTCTCATGCCTCAGCCTCCTGAGTAGCTGGGATTACAGGCGCCCACCACCACGCCTGGCTAATTTTTTATATTTTTAGTAGAGATGGGGTTTCACCATCTTGCCGAGGTTGGTCTTGAACTCCTGACTTCATGATCCACCTGCCTCGGCCTCCCAAAGTGCTGGGATTACAGGTGTGAGCCACAGTGCCCGGCCCCATCTTAAGTTTTTAATAAATAGTTCTTGTTATTAATTTAAGAAAGATGTTCAGGGAAAAAAAAAAAAAGTTCTTGCTGCTGCTCAGGCTGGTGAGGGTGGGGCCATCGGGCCCAGGCTTCCCAAGCTCGAGGGGTGTGGGGTGCCCCCTTCTCATGCCAGTTCAGGCTCTGGCTCTGAAAAGGAAAGGAGAAAGCACTGGGTTTGGCCCCCACCCACTCCCAGTGGGTGTCCAGGTGCTATCCTGATGGGAAGGGGGTGAGGCTCCCCAGGAACAGGTCTCAGCTGCCCCCAGCTCCGGAGGGGGGGTGCTGCACCTCCACCCCCAGGTGGGACAGGGGCGGCCAACAGGCTGCAGGCCCCTGGAGGATGGGCTCCAGCACCCACACACACCATGAGTTCTGGAGCCCAGCAGGTGAATCTGTCTGTTCCCAGCTTCCCTCCCAGGCTACATCCCCATCCCCCAAGGACTTGTCACTAACCAGCCTCAGCCTCATCACCCTTGGCATCCGGCTCCTGCCACCAGTCAGCATAGATGCTCTCCTCGTAGTCACCCTCCCCCTCAAACTCGGTGTCAGATGGGGCGTCCTCTGGCTCAAGGGGTGGTTCTGTCTCCTCCAGTTCCATCTAGAGCAGTGCCACGGTTGTGGGAGAAACGGGGTCACAGTAGGCCCAAACCCATATGGGCTCCCTTCCTGGCCAATGGGACCTCCCATCCCACCTCTTGGTCCCCAAAGCCCCTCCCCTTCCCCAGTCTCAAGATCTAATGAGACCATTCTGAGGATGTTCCCAAACTGCCCCTCCTTGACTGGCTGCACAGGGCGCCACTGGCAGAATTTGGTGTCAGCATAAACATCACCCCGGCACAGCCCCACCTTTTAAGCACAAATGCCCTGGCGAGAATCTTGCCAATCCATGCATAATGTTTGCTCATGCTGTTTTCCTGCCAGGAACTCCTGCTATCCCCTGTGCCTGCGCAGCCCGCACTGATCCCTCCAAAGCCAGGCGTCGGTTCCAGGCTGAGCCCTTGCTGGTGACCCTGGCTGGGCTGGAGACCTCCTCTGGTGCTGCATGCTGCCCCCTCCAGCAGCAGTTTCTACCTCCCCCCACTAGACTGTGAGCTTGGGAAAGGGACCATGACTTTCAGTAACTTATTCCAGCCCCCAGTCTGGTGTCTGACAAACCACATGGAACAAGCGACAGCCCTCAAAGCAGCTGCCATAGGCCAGACGCAGAGGCTCACACCTGTAATCTTAGCACTTTGGGAGGCCAAGGCAGGTGGATCACCTGAGGTCAGGAGTTCAAGACCAGCCTGGCCAACATGGTGAAACTCCATATCTCTACTAAAAATACAAAAATTAGCTGGGTATGGAAGCACATGCCTGTAATCTCAGCTACTCGGGAGGCTGAGGCAGGAGAATTGCTTGAACCCAAGAGGTGGAGGTTGCAGTGAGCTGAGATGGCGCCACTGCACTCCAGCCTGGGTGACAGTGAGACTCTGTCTCAAAAAAAAAGCAGCGCCGCCATTCACTGTGCACCTACCAGGTGCTGGTTCTTTATCAAGTGCTTTACATACTTGATTCTCAGCCAGGCGCGGTGGCTTACACCTGTAATTGCAGCACTCTGGAAGGCCGAGGTGACCTCACTTGAGGTCAGCAGGTTGAGACCAGCCTGGCCAAAATGGTGAAATCCTGTCTCTACTACAAATACAAAATAAAATTGGCTGGGTGGGTGGCACGTGCCTGTAATCCCAGCTACTCAAAGGCTGAAACCGGAGGATCTCTTGAACCCAAGAGGTGGAGATTGCAGTGAGCCGAGATCACACCACTGCGCTCTAGCCTGGGTGACAGAGCAAGATTCCGTCTCCAGGAAAAATAAAAATACATACTTGATCTTATTTATTTATTTTTTAGACAGAGTCTCAATCTGTCGCCCAGGCTGAAGTGCAGTGGCACCAGCTCAGCTCACTGCAACCTCTGCCTCCAGAATTCAAGCAATTCTCCTGCCTCAGGCTCCCGAGTAGCTGGGATTACAGGTGCCCACGACTGCCTGGATAATTTTTGTATTTTTAGTAGAGACAGGATTTCACTATGTTGGCCAGGCTAGTCTTGAACTCCTGATCTCAGGTGATCCCTCTGCCTTGGCCTACCAAATTGCTGCAATTACATGCATGAGCCACCACGCCCAGCCAGATCTCGTATCATTCTCACCACCATAATATGAGACGGGCATGATTCTCCCCATTCACTGGATGAAGAAACAGAAGCTTGAGAGGTTGCCTGACACTTGTCTGGAGGCCACCCAACTGGTAAGTAGTGGAGCCAGGTCTGGCTAGCTCCTTATCCTGGGTGCTGACAGTATAGATTCTGCCCCCCGCCCCCATGTTTGATGGGTGGGGGTGTGAACAAAGGAGAGGATACATAAACAAGCACTGAACAGCAACACCTCAGAGAAACTCAGGCTGTCAAACCCTCACTCGAAATCAGTATAATACACTATGGTCCTCTGGCCCTGATGCCCTGCGTTCATTCATTCATTCACTGGTTCATTCAAACTGTTTCTGAGCCCAGGCTCCATGCAGGACATGGGAGAGCTGGGAGAGCAGGGAATACCCTGGCCCCATGTCCTGCAGTGCGGTCCTCCTGGAGACTAGCTGGAGAAGGGGGCCAGGCCTGAGATGGACCAGGACTGCAAATCATCCAGGTCCAGGCCACAGGTGGCCAGGGAAGTACACAGAAGCACTGCTAGCCCAGAACAGAGAGCCAGGGCATGCAGCAAGGGCTTCCAGGAGGAGGCACCCTGTGAGCTGCACCTGGGAAGAGCAGGATTAGGACATGTACAGCAGGGGGCATGAGAATGCTCAGGCTGGGGAAGGAAGGGGCGGTCCAGACAAGGGACAGGCAAACCTCTCTCCTTCACAACAGCCGACCACCAGGGGCTGGGGCTCAACACTGGCACACTGGTGGCCCCAGGAAAAGGTGCAAGGTGTCCCCATCACAGCCCAGTCCTGGAAATCAGGAGGCACTCACCTCATCATCTGACTGCAGGTACATGTGGGTGAACTCCAGCAGCTCCCGCAGCTCGGCGGTCTGGTTGTGGTAGAGCATGGCCTCCTGGAAGGAGGGAAGGATGGGTGGGGGGTGAGCCATACCCTGCTGCCAGATGGCAAGAAGCCAGGGCTCCTAGGATCTGGGCCCACTGGCCCTCTTCCAGCTCAAGGATCAGGTATCAGCTCACAAGCTAATCAGATCATCGTGACTGCCTGGAGCACTGGGTTAAGGATTCTGAGGGTCTGGTGGGAAAGAATCCCTCAATCGATTAGCAATGTCTGCCACTGACAAGGAAAGCAGGAGTGGCACCATGTGTCCCGTATTTGCCAGCCTTGCCCTCAACTCCAAGGGGTTTTCTCAGTTGTTTACCTAGCAGGTTCCTGGGGAAGAGGGACAAAGGCCAGCAGTGAGGCTGATGAAGATGGGGAGGGGAGCAGGCAGGAGTGGACATGTACCTTCGCACCTCCCACATCTGGACACTGCTGAGGGGGGCAGTACTACCCCCATTTTGCAGGTGAGACAATAGATTTGGAAAGGGATATAGTCTTCCCAGGACCACACAGCAGTGGGGCTGGGCTCGAACCTCAACTCATATTCTTTCTTTCCATTTTCCATCCTGCCTTCCAAGGAAGCCAGGGTTTTTTTTTTGTCTGTTTGTTTTTGTTTTTGTTTAGCAAAATGCATGTCCAGCAAGTGCCCCAGAAAGCAGTGCCCACCTCCCGGGGCTGGAAGTCCTCCTCTTCCAGGCCCCAGCGAGCCCGGTGGAAGCGGTAATACACCAGGTTCTGCTGCATGACGCTGTCCTTGGGGTCGAAGAGCATGTAGCTGGCGGCGCTGCGGGCAGCCTGGCGCACATCGTTCACTGCAGCAGCACAGGGGTGAGGAGTTGCTCTGGCACTTCCCCTTCAGAGTCAACCCCAGCTCCCAGTTCGGTCCAGTGCCCCTGCCACCCTGCCACCTCCCAGAATAGCTACTGGGCTCCTTACCCCACCCAAGCATAATGCCAGCTAGCATGTAGTGGGCACTGACCCTGCGACAGGCCCTAACTCATTTAAGCCTCACTGTCATTGTCTTTTTATTTTTATTTATTTATTTAGTTAGTTAGTTTTGAGACAGAGTCTCACTCAGTTGCCCAGGCTGGAGTGTAGTGGTGTGAACTCGGCTCACTGCAACCTCTGCCTCCCGGGTTCAAGCGATTCTCTGCCTCAGCCTCCCGAGTATCTGGGATTATGGGCACCTGCCAACACGCCCAGCTAATTTTTATATTTTTAGTAGAGACAGGGTTTTACCATCTTGGCCAAGCAGGTCTTGAACTCTTGACCTTGTGATCCATCACTCAGCCTCCCAAAGTCCTGGGATTACAGGTGTGAGCCACCAAACCTGGCCTGTCTTTTTATTTTTGTTTTTTGAGACAGGGTGTCACTCTATCACCCTGGCTGGAGTGCAGTAGTGCCATCATGGGTCACCTCAGCCTTGATCTCCCGGGCTTAGGTGATCCTCTCACCTCAGCCTCCCAAGTAGCTAGGACTACAGGCACAGGTACCACCACACCCATCTAATGTTTTGTATGTTTTTGTTTGTTTGGAGACAGGGTCTTGTTCTGTCACCCAGGCTGGAGTGCAGTGGTGTGATCTCAGCACTATAGCCTCCGCCTCCTGGGCTCAAGCAATACTCCCACCTAGGCCTCCCCAGTAGCTGGGACTACAGGCATGTGCCACCACTCCTAATTTGTTGTATCTTTATAGAGACAGGGTCTTGCCATGTTGCCCAAGTTGGTCTCGAACTCCTGGGCTCAAGCCATCTGCCTGCCTGGGCCTCTCAAAGTGCTGGGATGACAGGCGTGGACTACCATGCCCAGCCTGCCTTTTACTGTCATCCGCATTTTACAGCCAAGAAATCTGAGTCACAGAGAGGTTAGCTAAATTGCACAAGCTCACACAGCTGGAGAATGATTGCTCTAGGGAATTAGAAGCCCTCAACCTCTGGTATCTGTTCCCAGGAAGGGTCTCCCGGCCTCTTGGATCTCAGCCCCTCTGCTCAGATTCCCGGCTCTGTCTGAATCTTGGCATCTCTGAGTTATAGGAACACTGCAGGCTGTCCATCTCAGCCCTGTTGGATGCCAGAATCTCTCCAGTGAGGAGAGCCACAAGTCCTGGTGCCACTTTTTATTAGTCATGAGACTAAAAGCCCCTTGCCGTCTATAAGCCTCAGTTTCCCCATCTGAAAAATTGGTCCAGCAATGCCAGCTGCATGGTTTTGATGAAAGGACCACATAAGTGCCTTGTAAACTCTCAAGTGTTGGTGGGGCACGGTGGTTCACACCTATAATCCCAGCACTTTGGGAGGCTGAGGTGGTGGATCACCTGAGGTCAGGAGTTCAAGACCAGCCTGGACAACATGGTGAAACCCCAACTCTACTAAAAATACAAAAATTAGCTGAGCATGATGGCGGGTGCCTGTAATCCCGGCTACTCGGGAGGCTGAGGCAGGATTATCACTTGAACCCTGGAGGTGGAGGTTGCAGTGAGCAAGATCGGGCCACTGCACTCCAGCCTAGACAACAGAGTGAAACTCCATTTCAAAAACAAAAATAAACTGTCAAGTGCTCTGCAGTTGTTGGTTGCCTAGTCATTTGCCCAAGAGACCCTCTACTTCTCCCTGAGGCTGCTGTCTGCTCCCACTCACAAGCCTCTCACCTGCCCCAGACTCTCAGGGTACCTTCCCCATGTCCCCACCACCCCTAGCCTTTTCTCCTATCATCCAGGATCCTCAATACTGAAGAAAGCTCCCCACAATTCTGGGAGGCACCCATGCAGTCCTCTCCCTTATCACCTCTTCCCCTTCCCAAGCCCACCCAGGGGGCTCACACTTGTAGTAGGCAAACTGCAGGTAGTGGTACATGGTGGCCACGAACTTGTCCACGAAGTAGCCGCCCACATTGGGGGTCAAATTGGCCTCACAGTCCACCTTGCACTGCAGGGACTCTGCAAAGAGATCTGGGGGCAGGAAGGAGCAGTGAGATGCTGGCTTTGCCATGAACAGCTCCCTCCCCCCAGTGGAGAAGACTCCAAATCCAAGCTCTGCCTACTGAGCCAGGCTGCTGGTCCAGAAAAGGTGCTGCTGTTGCAATCACAGGGGAGAGTGTGTGTAAAGTGCTTGCCACACTATATGACAAATGATGGTGAGGAAGATGACTGCAGGCTGAGCTGCCTCATCACCCCCACCACTCAACCACCACCCCAAGCCAGAGGGAGCCAGAGCATTCTGGGAGAACGGAGGTGAGGTCCAGAAGTGGGGCAGAAGTCCAAACAGAGAAGCTAAAGGACAGTCCTTTTTTTTTTTTTTGTGAGATGAAGTCTTGCTCTGTCACCCAGGCTGGCGTACAGTGGTGTGATCTCTGCTCACTGAAACCTCCACGTCCCAGGTTCAAGCAGTTCTCCTGCCTCAGCTGCCTAGCTGGGATTACAGGCGTGCGCTACCATGCCCAGCTAATTTCTGTATTTTTTAGTAGAAACGGGGTTTCACCATGTTGGTCAGGCTGGTCTCGAATTCCTAACCTCGTGATCTGCCTGCTTCGGCCTCCCAAAGTGCTGGAATTACAGGATTGAGCCACTGCACCTGACCAAGGACAGTCCTTTCTGCTTCTGCTTGAGGGACCCCGGGGTTAGAAATCTCAAGACTAGGTATTATTTCTGGTTACCAGCTGCTTTCTGCCCACACCTGCTACTTCTCATCGCGGCAGCTTTGCACCTGCACTGCCCTCTGTCTGGAAGGCCTGTGAACCCAAGCTTCCCAGACCCTTTAGGGATATCACTGCCTCTCCACACTGATCCAGCCCCTTGGACACTCCCAGCTGGGGCCCTGTACCCAGCGTCTTTCTTAGCAGACCTTGGGACAAAGCCTTCCTCCTGGCTGGCTCCTCCACATTTGCAGTGCTCCATGGGCAGGGAGGGCACATCTGCCTTACCGGGCCTGTGAGTGATTGGATCCCCACCATAGTCTGGGGGGGGGATACCTGCTATGGCCGGGTAGAAGTCCTTGAAGTCCACCTGCTCGTGGGCCCCTTCACAGCCGGCCAGACACCGGGCAAAGACCGCCAGGTACTCTGCCAGGGCCCGCTCCATGTCCTCCGTGCTGCTGCGGAAATCCCCGCTGTTGTAGAGCTTCACAGCCCGGAGGAACACAGCCTGGAGGGGGCGTGGCAGAGGGAGTCAGGGCACCCCCAACATTCCCCCTCCTCTACAAGCCCTATCTGCAAGATCCTCCTCCTGCCCTCCACCCCACCTCGTAGGGCTGGGCCTCTAGGTCCGTGAGGGACTCGTCGGCGACGTCGAGCATCCCCCGGTAGTAGCTGAGATACTTGGCGGTCAGCTCGTGCTTCGGGTTCCTCTGGAGGAAGGTGTAGGCCGCCGCCACCGCCTTCTCCAGCCGGTTAGCCTGGTCGGGGGGTAGGGGGTGAAGGAGCGGGTCAGGAGGGCCGAAGTTCGCGGCCCGGAGCGCACAGCGGGCTTCGTGTCCCGGGTGAAGGCAACGCTCCTCCGACCGATCGGTGGGGAGACCTGAGGCCCAGCCCGAGACGGGCCCCCGGGCGGGGGCGGAGGCCCACCTTGAACAGCGCGTAGTGCAGGTACTGGTAGGGCAGGCGGCTCTGGAAGTCGCGCAGCAGCTGCCGCGGCGGGTAGGGCACCTGAAAGGCGGGCAGCGTCCGCTTGCAGCGCCGCAGGCAGGCGGCGCGCTCCAGGACGCGGCCGAAGAGCCGCAGCTCGCGGGCCCACTCGTCCGCGCGGCCGCCGTCGGGGCCGGGCGTGGGCGCGGGCGCGGGCCCGCTGCAGTTGGCGTGGCAGAAGGCCTCGCTGTCGCGCAGCAGCCGGTGCAGCCGCAGCGCCGCCTCCAGGTAGCGCGCGCTCTCGCGCCAGCTCTCGCCCTCGTACTGCTCCAGCGCGTGCCCGTAGGCGGCGGCCAGCGGCATCAGGTCCTCGGGCGGGAAGCCCCGGAAGCTGTACTTCTCGTACTGCGCCCCGACGCTGCCCAGCAGCAGCCACAGCAGCCCCCACGCCGCCCGAGCCATGCCCGCCGCGCCGCCGGCTCTCCCGAGCTGAGCTGGCCGCCCGGCGGACGGAAGGGGCCGGGGCCGGGGCCCGCGGCGCGCCCGCTGGGTCTTAGCGCCGGGCACGAGGGCGGCGCGGCGGGGCGGGGCCTGGGTCACGACGTCTCCCCTCTTTTTGCCCAGGGTCCGATAGTGTCCTGAGTCCTCTCCGTCGGCCCGGGCTCCTGCCTTGGGAGTGCCCCTAGGCAGAGCGTGAGTGGGGGAGCGCTTCCCGCCGGAGATGGGGAGCCTGGGAAGCCCCTCCCCGCGCACAGTGCCCTCTCCTGGGATCCGGACCCTGAGCGAGGGCCTGGGCCACCTCCTCTGCGGTGCCCACGCGAGGGGGAAGCCCCGGAGCCGGGCAGGCCGTCGCTGCGCCCTCCCGCACCCTCCGAGTGTCTCCCCGCCCACGTCGGAGGCACACACCTGCCGTCACCTGCACACCTTCCGCCGCCACCGCCACCCACTCCTTCTCCGTGTCCGTCACGTCCCAAGTCACAAAGTCCTTTTTGCAGTCCAGCCTCTGCGGGGCCAAGCTGCTCTTCCCTGGAGAGGCCGTCCCTTGGAGCACAGTTGGGCTTGACGGACGAGCACGGAGATGCCACTCACACTCCGCGGCTTCACCACCCACCTGGAGGGGACTAGAATTGGAGGTGCCCGCGAAAGAAGCAAGGGTCGCCTCCGCCCGGCTTTAGGACCCGGGGGCTCCGGAAAAAGACATTGAACTTTTTTTTTTTCCCTTTGGTGTCCACTCAGACTTCTCATCTTTCCCGAGCCTCCCTCCCTGGCCAGGCCCCAGGTCTCGAAGCCAGGGTTGGAGATGGGGGGAGGGGGGACTCGCAGTTCTTTGTGGTGCCTCCCTCCGACTCTAACTTACTCAGCCTGGCCCCCTCCTCCTCTTGCACCCCGCCCCGCCCCTCGCCTGTCCAGCTCAGTCTTCCCAGCCCCCATTCCACGTGGACCAGCCAGGGCGGGGGTAGGGAAGGAGGACAGGAAGCGGGGGGAGCCAGTTCTGGGAGGCGGGGAGAAGGAGGTTGGCGGCGGCTCCCTCGCTCGCCCTCACTGCTGGCGGTCCCAGCTCCAGGCACCATGTTCCCCGCGGGCCCCCCCAGCTACAGCCTCCTCCGGCTCCCCGTGCTGCAGTTACTGCTGCTGGTGGTGCAGGCCGTGGGGAGGGGGTTGGGCCGCGCCAGCCCGGCCGGGGGCCCCCTGGAAGATGTGGTCATTGAGAGGTACCACATCCCCAGGGCCTGTCCCCGAGAAGTGCAGATGGGGGATTTTGTGCGCTACCACTACAACGGCACTTTCGAAGATGGCAAGAAATTTGACTCAAGGTAACCCGGGTTGGGCGCCCCGGGATTCACCACTCCATCCCCTGAACCCGGGGTCCTGTTTCCTAGTTGCCTCTTTGAAGCTCTGCATCCTAGTACTATAACCCCAGACAGCACCCTTGGGGCCTCCAGACATCCGTCTCCCCAAAGATACCCTCCTGCCTCCACTTCCAATCCCTCACTTCTCAGAGGACCCCTTTTCTTTCACACAAGCTCTCCACATCCCGGAAAGGACTCGATAATCAAGGTGAACCGCCCTATGTAGTTAACAGGGCTGTATTTAATGGCATGATGGAGAGGGGTGTTCTGGTCTACAGTGTTGGGGGAAAGGGGTGGACCTTGCTGCCTAAGAATCGTGGGGTGGTCTATCAGCCTGGACCCCCTACTTTTCCACCCACCCTGACTCCCTTTTTGGCTCCACTCCATTTGTGGTTAGAGAAGAGGGAATATAACTTTTTTTGGAGAGGGTGGGAGTTCTCAGCGGTCGGTGGGCAGGGACAAAGGCGGGTGGGCATTCTAAGAAGGCAGCCAGCTGGACCTGGGGGTAGGGCATGGCTCCCTGCGGGGACCCTGTCTGTCTACGTGTCGCACAGTTGGACATGCCACCCTGGGCTCCTCGGAGGAGTTTCACACTTTCCTCTCTGGTTCTCCTGGAACCCTCACCTCTCTCCATTTTAGGTAAATCGGCCAGAGGCGCAGGCCGCCCATTTTGCCAGCCTTGGGGTTTGTGAGGTGGCCTCCTGGTCTGATCCAGGACTTTGGTCTGCTCCAGCAAGTCCACTTTTGTTAGTGGGGACAGGACAGGGCAGTGTGCCAGCCTCAGGGGTAATCCTAGGGTCCCAGTTACATACGGACCCCACAGCACACTGAAAGAAGTCAGCCTTAGACCCTCCGCTGAAACACACAACTCAGCCCACAGGAAGTTAGTGGCCCTGACTTTGGAGGCAGGCAATATTTTGGGGTAAGCATACAAACTCTAAGAGTCCCAAGACCCTGGTTCAAATCCAGGCTACGACCATGGACAGAGAATTTTGTGTCTTTAAGCATCACTTTCCTTATCTGGAAAAAGGAAGACAAAAACAGGACCTACTTGCTAAGGCTGATGTTAGGACTCGAAAGAGATGGATGAATGAATGTGGGCTTCTCACGGGGCCTGGCAGTCCTCCAGCCAGTTCAGCACACATTAACATTGACCTTGAGGAGAACCAAATGACCTGATGCTATTTAACGCATAGAAACTTCATGCAGAGCTTAAGGCTTTGTAATAGCACTGGGAAGGAAACAGTCCAGACTTAAAACCTGCCCGCTTGGTGGGCAAATCCACGTATAGGTAGTAGCCAGGAGCACAGCCCTGAGCCCTTGAGTGCTGGGAGTGAGGCAGGGTTGGGATTTGGGGGTTGTCTTCCCTGGTAGGGACTCTGGGGGCCCAGCTCATGATTATTGAGCTTGGAAAACTTTCTTAACCATGGCCCCTTCAATAAAAAAAAAAAAAAAAATCTCCCATCCTCACTTTACTTCTGAAAACTTAAAATAAAATTGAAAGTGTATATAGCCAGGTGCGGTGGATCATGAGGTCAGGAGTTCAAGACCAACCTGGCCAAGATGGTGAAACCCCATCTCTACTAACATTACAAAAAATTACCCAGGCCAGGTGGCACGTGCCTGCAATCCCTGCTACTTGGGAAACAGAGGCAGGAGAATCGCTTGAACCCAGGGGATGCAGGTTGCAGTGAGCCGAGATTGTGCCACTGTACTCCAGCCTGGACAACAGAGTGAGACTTGTCTCAAAAAAAAAAAAAGTGTATATAATTGGCTGGGCGCAGTGGCTCCCTCCTATAATCCCAGCACTTTGGGAGGCCCAGGCAGGCAGATCACTTGAGGCCAAGAGTTTGACTAGCCTGAGCAACATGGCAAAGACCACCCCGCCTTACGAAAAATACAAAAATTAGCCAGGTGTGGTGGTGGTGCGCCTGTAATCCCAGCTACTCGGGAGGCTGAGGCAGAACCGCTTAAGCCAGGGAGGTGGAGGTTACAGTGAGCCGAGACTACACCACTGCACCCCAGCCTGGGCAACAGAGAGACTCCATCTCCAAAAACACTTATGTAAAAGTAAAAATAAATACATTAATTAAAAGTGTATAACTAAAAACAAGCAACAGCCATGGCACTTTTAGAATAGGCCTTTTCAAAATGTGAAAGCAATCCCCACCCATCTCTGCTCTCTCTCCTTTTCCTAGGCTTTCCATCTCAGCTGAGGACACATTGGCTGTGTGACCTTGGGCAAGGCACTTAGTCTCTCATGTCTCCATTGTTCTCATAAGAACAATGAGAACAAGAATCCCCAGCCGACAGGGGAGAGAAATAAAGAATGTAAAATGCCAAGCATTTAACTGCGTATTGTTAAGTGCTCAATACATGTTCCTCTGCCCCTCCGTGCTGTACCTACCACTCCCCACTTGCTGTCAGCAAACAGCAGCAGCATCCAGGCCCATGCATCCTACCCTAACCCCATCCCAGGGCAGTAGCCGCCCCTGGCCTCCTCAGGGCCTTGCCTTTTGTAACAGCCCGTTCTCTTAAGGTGGGTGACACGGCCAACCTAGGAGGGGGACTTGAAAAGGAGGTGAGGAGAGGCCAGGTGCGGTGGCTCATGCTTGTAATCCCAGCACTTTGGGAGGCCGAGGCGGACGGATCACGAGGTCAGGAGTTCAAGACCAGCCTGACCAATATTGTGAAACCCCCTCTCCACTAAAAATACAAAAATGAGCTGGGTGTGGTGGTGTACACCTGTAATCCCAGCTACTCAGGAGCCTGAGGCAGGAGAATTGCTTGAACCCAGGAGGCAGAGGTTCCAGTGAACTGAGATCACACCACTGCACTCCAGCCTGGGTGACAGAGCAAGACTATGTCTCAAAAAAAAAAAAAAGGAGGTGAGGAGCATGTGTGCATATCCACATCTGGGTGTAGCAAGGGGCATTGTGTACCTGTGTGTGCAGGTACACCTATGCCACCGTGGGCAGTGTGTGTGTGCCTGAGGTCACTGTATCCCATCTGTCCTTCCTCCCCAGCTATGACCGCAACACCTTGGTGGCCATCGTGGTGGGCGTGGGGCGCCTCATCACTGGCATGGACCGAGGCCTCATGGGCATGTGTGTCAACGAGCGACGACGCCTCATTGTGCCTCCCCACCTGGGCTATGGCAGCATCGGCCTGGGTGAGAAGGGCTGGGGCACAGGCTGGGGATGGAGGAGACCAGGAGGCAGAATCAGGGATCCTGGGGTCAGAAAACTGAAGTGCAGAGATGAGGAATGACTTACCCAATGTCACGCTATGCACACAGTATGAAGAGTGGCAGCTCTGGCTGGGGCAGTGGCTGACTATGTCTATAATGCCAGAGCTTTGGGAGGCTAAGGTGGAAGGATTGCTTGAACCCCCAAGTTCCAGACCAGCCTAGGCAACATAGCAAGACCCCGGCTCTACAAAAAAATTAAATAAATTATCCAGGTGTGGTGGTGTGTGCCTACAGTCCCAAGTACTCAGGACTTGAGCCTGGGAGTTCAAGGCTGCAGTGAGCCATGATTACGCCACCGAACTCCAGCCTGCGTGACAGAGCAAAACCCCATCTGTTTTTTTGTTTTTGTTTTTTTGTTTTTTTGAGACAGGGTCTCAGCCTGTGGCACAGGCTGGAGTGTAGTGGTGCGATTTCGGCTCACTGCAACCTCTGCCTCTGAGCTCAAGCGATCCTCCCACCTCAGCCTCCCAAACAGCTGAGACTTCAGACACACACCACCACTGGTGGCTAATTTTTTTTTTTGTTTTTAGTAAAGATGGCGTTTTGCCATGTTGCCCAGGCTGGTCTTGAACTCCTGGGCTCAAGCCATCCGCCTGCCATGGCCTCCCACAGTGCTGGGATAACAGGCATTAGCCACTCTGCCCAGCCCACTATCTCTTAAAAAACAAACAAACATAGTGGCAGCTGTGTGCCTGGTTTGGGTCTCCCGGTGTGGGATGAGAGGAAGGCCCCTGGCTGGGATCCTGGTTGGCAGAGCACAGCTCTGAGACCTCCATGCTGCTGTGCCCTCACAGCAGGGCTCATTCCGCCGGATGCCACCCTCTACTTCGACGTGGTTCTGCTGGATGTGTGGAACAAGGAAGACACTGTGCAGGTGAGCATCTTGCTGCGCCCGCCCCACTGCCCCCGCATGGTCCAGGACGGCGACTTTGTCCGCTACCACTACAACGGCACCCTGCTGGACGGCACCTCCTTTGATACCAGGTAAGGGGCCAGAGGGGAGCCCTGAGGCGCTGGGGACTGTGGCATGGGGAGCAGGAGTCCAGCCAGCCTCTCCCCCCCCCACCTCGTTTTCTGCAGCTACAGTAGGGGCGGCACTTACGACACCTACGTCGGCTCTGGTTGGCTGATCAAGGGCATGGACCAGGGGCTGCTGGGCATGTGTCCTGGAGAGAGAAGAAAGATTATCATCCCTCCATTCCTGGCCTATGGCGAGAAAGGCTATGGTGAGGGTGGGCAAGGAGTCAAGGGGAAATTCTCCAGAAGAGGGATAACCA